CCCCCTCCCAGCGAAGCCCGTCACTTGCACCGGCGAGCGGCGGCGGCAGGAGCGAAAAAAGGAAGGGGAGGGAGGGGGAGGGGAAGGGAAGGGATGGGTGGCAAAAAAAAGTTGAAGCCGCCACCAACTCCAGCCGCGGAGAAACCAGGGCTCAGCCCGCAAGGTGAGGAGGCGGAGGATCAGGGACGCAGGACTCGGCGGGGCCGGGGAAGGTTCCCTGCAGCCCTGGCTCGAAGAGAGGTGACACTGTCCCAGATTTCCTCTTCCCGGCTGCTATTTTAAGATCCCCCCCAAATCGCTCCACTTTCCCTCCCCCCCAAGCGACACGGCTTGGGCGAGGGGGGAGAGCGCGCGCAGCACCTCGTCCTAGGACGAGGGGGGAAGAGACGGGGTAATTGACTATTGCTAACAAGTGATTGTTGATTGGGAGGTGATCAATTATCTTCAATGACACTTTTCGCCCGCTCCCTCTGGCTCGCTCGCTCGCCCGCTCGCTCTCTGTCCAATGCAGGCGCTTGCAAGTTGGGAGCCCCATTAATTAGGAGGCGGTTTGGAGGTGGAGCCCAATTGAATTATAATGCTGAATGCACTTGTCATATTCTGACCTTACTATTTGTTTGGACATATATATTTTTAAATTACATTACACGCAGGCTTTATTGCATCAGGATAATACAGTATGGTGAAAAAACAATATTTCCCTAAACCCAAAAACCCAGTCGTATTCCCCCAACAGAGTCCTTCTCTTCTCCTTTCTTTTTTTTCTTCTTTAATTTGGATGGTTATTAGTTTAAAAAAAAGATCTGTTTTGTTTGTAATCAGGGAAAGAAGGGGAGATCCTGTCACCAGGTAAGGGAGACAATTCATCTATCACCTTTTAAACGTGGTGGGGTATTTTTTTTTTCATATTTCATCCATCATTTTTGTGTGCAGTTTGGAACCATTTGTTGAAACGTGGTACGTGGGTGTATTTATGCTGCGGAGATCGGGAGCGGAGACCTTTTTGCTTGGGTGCTGCTTTTATAAAAGCGTGGGGGGGGGGGGGGGGTGGTCCAGGGAAAATCAGATCTAGTTTTAAATATTGACCGAGTTGTGCGTACGTGTGTGTGTGTGTATTTTGTGCCTCCTAATAACAATATGGCGAACTGTCTCTTTAGTAGTTTACAAGGTACAACGTGAAATATTTCATGGCTCTGTACAACGTGGAATATTTCATACAACGTGGAATATATATTTCATCGCTATAGGATTCCTACAGCGACGGCTGATCGCCAGTAGTCGTAGGGCTTTTAATCGGGTCGGTTTTCTTGGATTCTCGGAGGCATTGTCAGAGGCCACTTTTGTGGAGAATCTTTCGGCGTGTAGATCATTTCTTGTACTACCTAGAGGATAGGGGAGCTAGAGAGAGAGACAGGGATGAATCGCTCCCCCTTAGCTCTAGCTAAATCCTTCTCTGCCATAATTCAAGAGCAAAGGGCCACCAAACAGCGTCAGGGACATATTTCATCTCCTTTAAAAACTCCAGACCTGGTGTCCCCCCCTCCCGGCCCTTCCTTTTGCTTTACTCAAAAACTGGGCTGAATTATGGTTGTTTCTTAATGCTGGCTCCCACGACCAAGGCGTGTGTATATATTTATGCATATTTGTCTTTTTGGAAAGTGTTCCTGGAGGAATAAAAATCGCTTTTGATTGCCTAGGGTTTTTATTATTATTATTACTTCGCGCGATAAAGCCAATCAACACGTTACAGAGGCCGTTCATTGTTATTAATAATAATTAATCATCCATTTTTCCTTTCTGCCCGAGATCGGCTCAGTCTTCGTATCAACCCCCACCCCACCCCGTCGGCCTTTTACATTTGAAAACAAATAAATAAAAATCGCTTTTGATTGCCTAGGGTTTTTATTATTATTATTACTTCGCGCGATAAAGCCAATCAACACGTTACAGAGGCCGTTCATTGTTATTAATAATAATTAATCATCCATTTTTCCTTTCTGCCCGAGATCGGCTCAGTCTTCGTATCAACCCCCACCCCACCCCGTCGGCCTTTTACATTTGAAAACAAATAATCGATCCGACTAATCACAGTTTAGGAAAGGAAAAGGGGGAGGAGGTTTTTGTTGGTTGGTTTGTTTGTTTTTTTTTAATTGTAATTAAACCTTTCCCGAGGCCCTTTGTTTGTAAACAGAGGCGCGGCGGTCCTATAGAAATAGAAGCGTTTCTGGTGGAGATCTCGAATTAGTACAGAAGAGGCGTCTTTTTGGGGAGGAGGGCAGGATCAATTCTATTGTATTTAGCAGCAGGTTGCTATTTCGTTTTGCATTGTCCGCCGGGAATGTTGACTACATTTGCAGCCGTGTAAACCGTTCTCGGGCGGTTCGAAGTGATCTGTCGCTGGATCTGGATCGAGATCTAGGGAGATAATTTTTCGAGCTGGAGTCCTAGGCCACCAGCTAGGGGAACTATAGCATCCCCATAGCTAAATAGGCGTTTGCGCGTTTAATAATAAAAGTGCGTTTACCCCTCCCGTCCTCCACATCTGTACCTGGCCCTGGGGTCCCCTCTGATGTAAATCAGAAACAACTGCGCGGAAAGCCAGACCCTGCTCCGCTTGGGTCTCTTCACCTGGACTCACACAATGAGGTCTAGGTGCCAAACACACACAAAAGAGGCAAATGGCTTCTTCTCTTAAAGCGGCCGCATCCCATTTTTTTTATTGCTCTCTGGGAGTCTCTTTATGCAGTGACCTATTTTTAAAGGCCTATATTGGGTTATTCATCATATCAAATGCTGCGAGGAGATGGGGGGGGAGAGAGAGAGAATTACATTGATTCTAAATCTCTGGGCTTCCTCTTCTTGCTGGGAGGTTTAGTGGCTTCGCTTCGGTTTATGAAGTGATTTAAACATATTTTAACCACTTACTCCTCTCCTCCCCTAGGCCCTCTTGCATTATTTCCCAGCATGGATAACGTAGTGATTGGGTGGGCTGTAATACACCCCACCCATGCCAGTTTCTCTAGGGGTTTATTCCCCCCTCGCCTTTCTGTCCTGTACACCTAGAAACTCACAGCCCTAGACAGATTTTCACAGCAGCCGCAATATTTTGGAATGAAGTTAAACTATTGAGGGGTCCAGATTTCCCCCTTTTTGTCAAGCAGTCAGAACAACAGCAAGGAATGCGCCTCTGAAATCTGTTGCCTCCTGTGTGGGTTTCCCTGCACCTGTCCCGGAGACCAGGCGTGTGAACAGTGTGTCGCCTCTTTGGGCATGTCTACACAGCAGGGTTGAAGTCGAGTTAAGCTGGGCACCTTCAGCGACCTCAATTGCAGAGCTGAAGTCGAAATAGCTTCATTCGGCTTTTGGTGCTGTCTACACAGCAGGAAGGCGAAGGAAGATCGCTCTCCTGCCGACTTTCCTTACTCCGCATGAAATGAGGCGTCCTGGATTTGGAATAAAAAGTCCTCCAACTCACCATTATTTCGAAATAAAGGCTTGAGGTGGAGACACTCACTTTGTTATTTTGGAATAACGTCAGTATTCTGAAATAATACTGCTGTGTAGATGTACCCCTAGGGTGCATCTATATGACACTCTTAGCTGGAAATAAGCCATACAATTTGAGCTATGCCAATTTCATAGTAATTTGGCACTGTCTGCCCAGCGCCAAACTTTGAACTAAAGTGTTATTCTGAAATGCCCTTAATCCTCGTGGAATGACATGTACAGGGACATCAGGACAGCAAGCCCTTTAGATTTTGAAATAATGGGCTTGTTTCAAAGATGCGGAGTAGCTGTTTTGGGATAGCAGAAGAATCCCATAATAGCACCGCAGTGTAGACGCACCCTTTATGGGCATGTCTACATTAGGAAACCATTTCAAAATAAGTTATTTCAAAATCACTCCTTAGTGCGCTGTTTTGGGATAGCAGAAGTATCCCGAAATAGCGCCGCAGTGTAGACGCGCCCTTTATGGGAACGTCTACATTAGGAAACCATTTCAAAA